CACCATACTCATCATTGAAAGATATGGTGTTGCTACATGATAGTTCATTAGAATAACAGATGGCAATATCTCCCACAATTTGTTCTGGTCTGCAGTTGTGGATTGCTGTGTATCCTGGTAGTGTGTAGATGTCTATTGTGTCTTGCTTAAGCCAGGTTTCAGTAAGAATAATACAGGAGAAGGTTGCCTTTAATGAATCTAGGAGTGCCAGGAGGTCATCATAGTGCTTACTTAGGATCTAATATTGTAATTCAAAATTGTAATATATCTGGCACTGCTTAGGACAGTACTGGCTTCCATTGCTTTGTAGTAAAGACAATTGCTTTCAGTTGAATGGTGGCTGGGATTTAGATTATGTAGGTTCAGTTCAGGGTTGATGTCAGCATTGAGCATTTGGGGTTAACTGATAAATATTTAAATGATAATGAATTGCAGAAAGGTAATAAAGGGTAATATTAATGCCTGTAAAAATGGGTTGATTGAACAATAATGGTGTAAGTGTATATTGTTTCAGTAGATTATAAAACCTAATAGACATATAGTTCTGGACTAATGGAGGATGGTAAAAGACAGTTAGAAATATAAAAAAAAAAATAGAATTTTATACAAATATAAAAAAATTGAATTGTATACCTTTGTAGGCAAACAAGATGGTGATCTTGGTGTCTAACAAGAGTGTAAACTATAAGGTAGTGATTAGACAGCTTATGCAATTTACTGCTGTCAGATTGACAATATGGTAATAAGGATTAGGTTTTATAGAAAATAACTGGATGAAAAAAGTAGGGGTTTCATAACACTACTTTTGGAAAGTGGGTACAAACTGTATTTTATTCTGACTCAGTTAAACCAGCATCACTTAGAATTTTCTTTATTTAATTTCTACTGAGTTCAGTAGAACTGAAATATCTCCTTCCTGTTGATTCCTTCTTTATTGCAAGTATTTCCATCCCTTGCAAAGCACTGGTGGATTTTTCAGTTGTATTGTAGCTTTATTAATCTGTAGAGGAAATTTGGTCTTATTTTGGTCATGCATTCATTGACATCAACATCTGTTTTCATATTAACAGATATCCTTAATAGTTCATTAATTTGTGAGCTAAAGTTGAACTTTAGTATCACTGATTTCTTCCCAGTTTGATAACCTATCACTTTACACTCCTTTATGTCATCAGTAGGTACGTTGAGATGATCTTGGGTAAGTTGTAGGGTGGTTTGTTTACATGTTTTATAAGTTATAGTTAGTGGTAGAAGGTTGCTATTTACTACAACTAGTTGCTGTTGGTCGAAGTGGTCTTGGAAGTTGTTCATAACATTGGAAAGTTGTAAGTCCACTCTTGCTCTTTCATTCTTGATGTTGGTGTTTAGTTGGGTAACTTGATCTTTCAGGTGGTTGATGGTGTCCTCAGACTGGGTGTGGGTGTTGCTTAGTTGTTTCAGTGTATTTAGTTTTTGTTCAAGATTTGTGATCTCACCGAGGTGTTGTGTATTGGATGTTTGTAATTCCTTAATTTCCTGGGTTAACATGTCATTGGAGGTTTTAAGTTCCTGCATTTCCTGAGTTAAAATTATGTTTTTTTTATTCTGGATTCTAACGAGTTTACCTATTTCTGGGTCAGTAATGTTCATATCAAATCCATGGAAGGAATTATCTTGGATGTTTGTGGTGGTGGCCATGTTTGTTGTTGTTTAAATGCTTGCACCTTTGTAAACATTGTACACATTTCCTTAATCCTTGATGAAGACAGCTTCCTCCGTCTCACTTCCTTCTGCTCTGAAGCGCTTTCCTGAGCTGTGATCTGTTGCTGATGCACCTCAAGCTCTTGCAGGTCTGCATTGGTTAGTTCATCATCATTCTGCACCAACTCTTCCACATCCTCGCTACAAATCTCCAACCCCATGGACTTCCCCAATGACACAATAGCTTCCACTACTGGCATAGGTTCCTGAGGGTTAGCCCCAAGCCTCTTGTACACATTGTGGCCACAGTTTTTCCCAAGCAGAGTTCAAAGTCCTGCAAGTCACTCCCTCCCAAGCCTTACCTAGAAGGTTTATGCAACTGAGGATACTGAAATGATCTTTCCAAAACTCTCTTAGGGCCAATTCAGTGTCTGAGGTCAATTCAAAGCACTTGAATCACTGCTTTTCTGTAGAGTTTTTTGAAATTTGCAGTGACCTGCTGGTCCATGGGCTGGAGGAGAGGCGTTGTATTAGGAGGCAAAAACTTCACTTTAACAAAGCTAAACTCCCCTGCAATTTGTTCTTGCAAGTCATGAGGATGAGCAGGAGCATTGTCCATTACCAGGAGGCACTTGAGTGACAATTTCTTTTCCAGGAGGTAAATTTTCACAGTGGGGCCAAACACACCATAAAACCAGTCCATGAAAATTTCCCTAGTGACCCATGCCTTACTGTTCGATCTCCACATCACACACAATTTAGTCTTGATGACATTATTTTTCTTGAACACCCTTGGAGTTTCAGAGTGATACACCACTAAAGGCTTCACTTTGCAATCACCACTAGGATTACTATGCAACATTAATGTTAGCCTGTCTTTCATAGGCTTATGTCCTGGCAGTGCCTTTTCCTCCTGAGTAATGTGGGTCCTGTTTGGCATTTTCTTCCAAAACAGGCCTGTTTCGTCACAATTAAACACTTACTCTGGTTTTAAGTTTTCAGTCTCTATGTAATCCTTAAAGTCCTGCACATATTTTTCAGCTGCTTTTTTGTCTCACCTGGCAGCCTCACCATGCCTTATCACACTGTGTGTGCCACTATGATTCTTAAATCTCTCAAACCAGCCTTTGCTAGCCTTAAATTCATCAGCACCAGCACTATTTGGAGGCATTTTCTTAGTGAGATCATGCAACTGCCTTGCCTTTTCACATATTATTGACTGAGATATACTATCCCCTGAAAATTTTTTCTCGTTTGTCGACACCAATAACAGTCTCTCCACTTCTTTGAGTATTTGCAATTTGTTTTGTAATCACACTTGTACCTTTTGCAACAACAGCTGCCTTGATTGCCTTTTTGTTGTGCAAGATAATAGTGATGGTTGGATGGGGTTTGTTGTATAACTTTTCCAACTCCGAGATATGCACTCCACTTTCGTACTTTTCTATTATCTTCTTTTTCAGTTCAGTGGTACACCTCACCCTTTTTACCACAGGTTTGGCACTAGAAACTTTCTTGGGGCCCATGGTGGCTTATTTAGTGGTTGCAAGCACTGAAAACAGTGGAATAATACAAAACATATGGCAGGTACATGTGGAATCGACAGCAATGGCTTGTAAACAGTGGCACACTGGCTGGTAGACTGAGTGACTGGCCAGGCTCGCTCATGGCGCCGAGCAGACGCATTTGGGATGAAATCTCCTAACCGAGTTTTTAGGTGTTATCGGAGCCCATGTTTTTATGCCAAAGCGAGGCGTTATCTGATTTTGGCACTATCTGATCCAGGCATTAAGTGGGCGTTCACTGTAACTACATTACAGCTTATCGGCTAAGAAAATTATGCTATGCCCAAAAAACCCACCAGTGCTTTGTGAGGGATGGAAAAATCGCAGTTAGGAAACAGCCCACTGAGAAGAGATACTTCATCTTTACAGAACATGACCTTAAAACATTCCTAAGTGAGGCTGGACTAACAGAATCAGAGTAAAGTGCAGATAATACCCACAGTCCACCGTTAGTGTTAAATTGTCATAAATTTGTGCCCCCCTAAAATTCTAATACCCCAAGTACTTTTGATTGTCATTGCTGTATTCAACGACCATTCTACCTCATAGTCTTAATTGTGTTTAATATCTACAGAATGTATCTCCTTTTTTACATCTTACCACATCACTGTTCTATCTTGTTTTATTTTAAACTAACCATAAATTGTCCTCAATAATTCTACCTCACTTTAAGAAATACTCATTTGCCCAATTTTATTCTAAAATCCCTATTATTGCCCAATTTTACTTTAAACTATATTGACCAAACTTATTGTAAACTTTTTTTATTGCCCTTTTTTATTCTGTACTTTTTTAAGCTAGTATTTTCAACTACAACTTTTATATCATCCTGTCTACCATCTTACTAGCATATTATAACCAAGTCATTGCCATTTTTATTTTTATCATTTTTTTTTATTATTCTTTTGCTACCTTAACTTGTGTATTTTATCTTGTCAATTTAAATCTAGTTTTACTCTATTAGATTAAACTCAGTTGTACTATAGCTCATTCTAGCTCAATACATAGTCAATACCAAATTCATTATATTAGACCATAGTGTAATTACTAGTGAGAGTCTGGTGCTATTTTTAATTTGTATTTTTATATTACTAGATTAAACCTAGTTGTACTATAGCTCATTCTAGCTCAATAAATAGACTGTACCAAAGTCATTATATTAGATCTTAGTGCAATTACTAGTGAGAATCTTGTGTTATTTTTAATTTGTATTTTTATATTATTAGTTTATACCTAGTTGTACTTTAGTTCATTCTAGCACAACACATAGACATCATCAACTTCATTATGTGTAGTAGTGACTATACTCTGTATGACCAAAATACTCTAGCTATGTACTTGTCCAAACTTCCCACCACTACAGATATCAGTACTAGAACTCAACACACAACTAAGGATATAAATAACCATAATTTAAACCTAGAAGATGATTGATCATGTTGACCCTGATCTAAACCTCCATAATCTGACACCCAATCAAAACCTATTGGAAAGTAACTGTCTTTATTACACAGCATCACAAGCCAGCACTATCCTGAACACTGCTAAAAGTCTATCAGTACTTAACTACAACATCAGGTCCTTAAGCAAACACTATGACGACCTCCTGGCACTCCCTGAATCACTAAAGACACCCTTCTCCCGCATTATTCTTACTGAGACCTGGCTTAAGCAGGACACAATAGATATCTACCCTCTACCAGGATATGCAGCAATCCACAACTGCAGACCATACTTAATATTTATTTTCTACAGGATAACGATAAACCAGAGGAGTGTAAAGTGTGCTTTAACAATTATGATGAACTACGTCGACCACGCAATCTGCCGTGTGGTCACACATTCTGCTCTCAATGTATTGAAGATACAATTAAGAATGCTCAGCTCACCTGCCCCAGCTGTCGTGCTGAGCACAGTGCCACAGATGCTACTCAGTTCCCGATCAACTATGCTATGGAGGCTGTGATAAAGAAACTCAGAAGTATCCAGGTTACATCAGTGCAAAGTGTGTCAACAAAATGTGGTCAAGATCGCACAAGAGGCATCAGCAAGAAGTTACGATCTTTGGTACAGGAACACAAGAGCAGTATCAGTAACCTTATAATTGAGTGTGAAGAAGCACTGTCCCAGCTGGGCAAGTACCAGGGACAGGTGAGGGACTGGAAGACCCAGCATCACCAACTGCAGGACAGACTCTATGATCTGCTGGAGCAGAACAAGGCAGCGATAGAGCTCCTGGAACAGGAGGATACCAGTGTGCTGACTATGACAACAGAAGGAGAAGCAGGAAAGAAGCAGCTGCAGACAATGCTGGAGAACCTCAACACAGTCAACACTGCACAGGAGGTCGTCACAACCTTTGATGAGGCTGATCACTACAACGTGGAGGTTGAAGATTGGATCCAGAAGTGTCAGGAACTCTTCCCAGATGTTAACACTGTCTACACCTCAGTAAAGGTATTGATGCCCCCAGACATTATTGAACTTTCTAAACAATTTCTTAATTCATTTTTATATATTGATTCTGTTCTGTAAATATATACAACTTTAAGAGCAATATTAAAATGTGATTTTCACCAAAATGTTGCGAGATTCTTAAACTATTTTTCTGTCAACAATACTTCATTTCCATATTTTTCAATTATTTTTGTACTGCGCGCATAAAAACTCGAGCTCGTTCCTTAAGTTATCTATTATTAAATATATCTTTCTTCTTTCATTGCACTGGCCATATCCCACTGAAGGAGGGTGGCCCAAAAAGAAAAACAAAAGTTTCTTTATAAATTTAGTATTGTATACAGGATAAGGGGTCATTAGCTTCTTCCTCCTGACATTTTAGTTACCTCTTATGACATGCATGGCTTACAGGGGAGGAATTCTCTTCCACTTCCCCATGGAAATAACAGGAAATAAACAAGAAAAAGCACTAGTAAGAAAAGAGAAGAAAACCCAAAGGGGTGTGTTTGTGTGCTTGTACATACTTGAAATTATGCATATTTATGTGACAGAAAAAAAACACCAGCAATCATACCATTATGTAAAACAATTACAGGCTTCTGTTTTACACTCATTTGGTAGGACAGTAGTACCTCCCTGGGTGGTTGCTGCGTACCAACCTACTACCACAGCATAGTAGTATCTCCCTGGGTGGTTGCTATCTACCAACCTACTACCATAGGATGGTAGTACCTCCCTGGGTGGCGGATGTCTGCCAGCTTTCTACCACAGGATGGTAGTACCTCCCTGGAGGGTTGCTGTCTACCAACCTACTACCACAGGATGGTAGTACCTCCCTGGGTGGTTACTCTCTACAAACCTACTACCACAGGATGGTAGTACCTCCTTGGGTGGTTGCTGTCTACCAACCTATTACAATAGGATGGTATTACCTCCCTGGGTGGTTGCTGTCTACCAACCTACTACCACAGGATGGTAGTACCTCCCTGGGTGGTTGCTGTCTACAAACCTACTACCACAGGATGGTAGTACCCCCTTAGGTGGTTGCTGCCTACCAACCAATTTTCAACAGGATGGTATGTACCTCCCTGGGTGGTTGCTGTCTACCAAACCCACTACCAAGGATGGTAAATACCTCCCTGGGTGGTTGCTGTCTACAAACCTACTACCACAGAATGGTAGTACCTCTCTGGGTGGTTGCTGTCTACCAACCTACTACCACACGATGGTAGTACCTCCCTGGGTGGTTGCTATCTACCAGCCTACTACCACATGATGGCAGTACCTCCCTGGGTGGTTGCTGTCAACCAACCTACTACCACAGGATCACAGTACCTCCCAGGGTGATTGCTGTCTATAAACCTACTCCCACAGGATGGCAGTACCTCCCAGGGTGATTGCTGTCTATAAACCTACTACCACAGGATGGTAGTACCTCCCTGGGTGGGTGCTCTGTACCAACCTACTACCACAGGATGGTAGTACCTCCCTGGGTGGTTGCTGTCTTCCAACCTACTACCACAGGATGGTAGTACCTCCCTGGGTGGTTGCTGTCTACCAACCTACTACCACAGGATGGTAGTACCTCCCTGGGTGGTTGCTATCTACCAACCTACTACCACAGGATCAGAGAACCTCCCAGGGTGATTGCTGTCTATAAACCTACTCCCACAGGATGGCAGTACCTCCCAGGGTGATTGCTATCTATAAACCTACTACCACAGGATGATAGTACCTCCCTGGGTGGGTGCTCTGTACCAACCTACTACAATAGGATGGTAGTACCTCCCTGGGTGGTTGCTGTCTTCCAACCTACTACCACAAGATGTTAGTACCTCCCTGGGTGGTTGCTATCTACCAACCTACTACCACAGGATCACAATACCTGCCAGGGTGATTGCTGTCTATAAACCCACTCCCACAGGATGGTAGTACCTCCCAGGGTGGTTGCTGCCTACGAACCTACTACCACAGGATGGTAGTACCTCCCTGAGTGGTTGCTTCAAGAGATATCCAAGGAAGGTTAAAGAATAGGTACAGGTGATGTGCTAGGAAGGGTTGAAGGAAGGTACAAGGGATATCCTAGGAAGGTACAGGGGATATTCTAAGAAGGGTTGAAGGAAGGTACAGGGGATATCCTAGGAAGGGTTGAAGGGAGGGACGAGGGATATCGCAGGAAGGGTTGAAGGAAGGTACAGGGGATATATTAGGAAGGGTTGAGGGAAGGTACAGGGGATATTTTAGGAAGGTTGAAGGAAGTTACTGGAGATATATTAGGAAGGTTGAAGGTAGGTACAGGGGATATATTAGGAAGGGTTGAAGGGAGGTACAGGGGATATATTAGGAAGGGTTGAAGGGAGGTACAGGGGATATATTAGGAAGGTTGAAGGTAGGTTAAGTGGATATGTTAGGAAGGTTGAAGGTAGGTACAGGGGATATATTAGGAAGGGTTGAAGGAAGATACAGGGGATATATTAGGAAGGGTTGAAGGAAGGTACAGGGGATATATTAGGAAGGGTTGAAGGGAGGTACAGGGGATATATTAGGAAGGGTTGAAGGGAGGTACAGGGGATAAATTAGGAAGGGTTGAAGGGAGAGTGTGAGTGATATTTTAAGACATAAGTCTTAAGTAATCAACAGTTGTGTAAGTGTCAGAGTGGAGATAAATTGTTGCTGACATCCAGAATTAATGTTTTTGTTGGTAATGACAGGTACAGAAAACCATAAGAAGGCTGAACACATCACCACAGAGACAGGTGCCACAGCTGCCACTGTTCTCCAGGGAGACTCAAATCACACCATCATGGAGAAAGTTAAAAAATTATTTGTGAAATCCCCAGAGACATTAACGTAAGTGAAAGTCTTTGTTTCTTTTTTCATGTTATACAATATTAATCATTTATAACATGTCATCACAGATTTCATTTTAAAAAATTACCTACTTCTTATTCCTATAATATGGTAAAACTTGCTACCTAACTTATTGATACCCAACTTTTCATAATATTTTGACTGCGGTTTTTCTATTTCCTTATAGTTTTCAGAATCACAAAAATAGACATTTGTATAAATAAAACAACTGAACCTACCTCTTCCAACTTTGAAACAGTAAATAAACTGTGAATGACTTCTTCTCTACCATAGTAATAAAATCTAGCTTAAAAAGTTCTGAGCCTCCAAATCCAGTTTATGATTACCTAATGATAACTATCACACTTCCCTCTGCCTATTCCAAACTAATTCTACATACATTACTTCTATAATAAAGTCACCAACAAAGCCCAAAGCTAAGTTAATTTATGACTACTGATATATAAGAAAGTTGTTCATGTGTTACCCAACTATTGAACAGTAGGGCACCACTCATACAGCAGGTTAGGTTTAAGGTTATCGTCAGAAAGCAGGCATTGCCAGTAAGCAGAATGCCATTTTTTCCACTTATAAATGTATACGAATACCAAATAAGTTGACAATAACATATACAGCCTCTCCTCACTTAACAACGGAGTTCTGGTCCTAAGACAACATTGGTAAACAAATTCGTCACTAAGTGAGGAGCATACTATAATGGTAGTGGGTTTATGTCAACCATTTATAACATTTCTGGTATGTTTTTGAATGTTTATGCAACAATGTACTGTATATTGTAATAAACGAAATAGAGGAAATCAGCTCTAATATACATTATTTAGGTATGTACACTGGTCAAAGAGCCCATCATAAGTCCGAGTCATTGGTAAACGAGTATGTCACTAAGTAAGGAGAAGCTGTATTATGCTAACAGTAGAACTTGGCATTAAAACAATAAAAAATAAAATACATACACAGTATATTCATTACTTTCAAATATTTGTAGTCATAATGAAGGGTGAAGAGTGAGTAGTATTTATTTGTAGAAAGTCAGGTGTAGGTAGACTTGGCTCCCACTCCCAAATGTAATATTTAAACTCTTAACTGTCCATATGTAGATCTACTTTGTTACTGCTGGTGCTCCAAATGTAGATCAACATTTTATCTTTTTTATTTCCCTCAACTGACCTGAGATGCCTGGTAAGATAGAATGGGTCTTAACACCTGGTATGAGCAGTATTAAAAAATCTGGGACTACTTAGTACCTTGTGGGAGCACCAGTTCAATTGAGTGCCATCTTGAACAAAGAACATGGCAAACACCAGGGATTCACTGATGACATGTCATATTAGCACTTCCCTATAAAGAGCAGTTGGCCCTTAGTTTAGTGGCTTTGAGATAGATGTTTCTACAAGTGTTCAAGGAAATATCAAAAACCTCAACAATAACCCATGTGCAACATTTGTGCAACATCCTTTCATTTTTAATACCACTGGTAGTGTCATCCTGCCAAAATATCTTGTAGCCTATGCTTTAAGTAATGAAAAATAATTCTGGAATGTGTAACGTGTTCAGCAGGCTGGCTGGCCGGGTGGGTGGGTGGCTGATTGACTTTGGTTGTCTCTATTCCTTCTGTCTGTATCTATTGCTGTCTGTATCTATCACCATTTGCATATATCTCTGTCTATCTCTGTTTGTATATATCTCTGTCTCTGTCTATCCCCGTCTCTGTCTCTCCCTGTATCTGACAGGTACACATAAGTACAGTTATCATACAAAGTATAAATTACCTAGGATAACCCCAAAAAATCCAGACAAAGTGTGATACTGTGCTTGTAGATATAAGACATAATAAGCATGACTGGCAAGCAATATACATCTTCACTTGATCAGGAACCAGACATGACGACTCTGCATCGTGTGTAATACCTCTTGGTTCATGAGTGGTGTTCTCTCTGATACAGAGAGACAGACAGAGACATGAGTGGTGTTCTCTCTGATACAGAGAGACAGACAGACACAGGAAGACACATAGGCAGACAGAAAGACAGATAAGCAGACAGATAGACATGTTACATGTTTAATGTGTAACAGTGAAAAGAAATAAACCATGGGTTCTCTGGAGCAGTGCATGATCATCAAGTGTCACT